CCTTAATTTTGAAGCTTGAGCTTGAAAACGACAAGCAAACGGCTGAGGCTTAAGCGAGAGACTCGTGCGCGCTCCGAAAAAACTGCTCCTCCCTTTTTGGCATGTTGCACCTCGGACGCTCCACGACCCCCCCAGTCATCCCGCTTCACTAGTCACTGGACTGTTGAACGCTTTGATTTTGGCCCTCAAACTTGCCTCAAACAGTGACAAACACTGGCAGTGACAAGCCACGTGCTGCGTCGACGATCACAAACTCATCAACATCTCTTCTTCGGCGATGGCGACACTGAGAGCCGCACACGCCACTACCGCACGAGATGGGTCCCTGGGGTTTGGTTCTGGGAGAGGCCCTTAAGGCCTTACCAGGTGAGTCAGAGTCTGCTATTGCCTTCAGTGTGACTCTAACATTTCATGATATATTATATTCAGTCTTCGATGTCCAGTACCTCCACACGTGTTCCACTCTTGACATATTCACACCCAGATCAGTCTCCAACGGAAACCTAACTCATCTTGTGTTCATCAGCTTTGAGTCGCCGCTCCCCAAGTCCTCTGACCCAACCCCTATCGTGAATCCATCGTGTCTGCCTGTCGTCGTCACAAGGTCGTCGACATTTGGGATCTCTTTACCATTTCTACTTAACATCTTCTGGCTTCACGCCGTTACGTATAGGTGCATGAAAAACAACTTGACGCGTGGGGCGCAAACCCCACCTAAATCCGACATCCACGTTCCGCGATCACTTTGCAATTGAGTTTGGTCTTACAGCTGATTGCGAAACGATAGAGCAGCTTGCTTCCCGTTCCAGCTCAACCGTGTGTTTGTTTGCGGCGGACACCAAAGCCAAATAAACCGGATCGACGGGGCTTTTGAGAACGTTTGACGAGACGTGGTAGCAAGCATTTTCTTGACGGGTGATGCGATGTGTCTTCGGTGACCATTCCGCGCCATTATTACACGAGAGAAGGGGGAGGTGAGGGTATGTAGATAAGACTCGGAAAAGTTGAAGCAAAGCAGGTGCCGCATTTGGAAGGTGCTGATGTGCGGCCATCAACAAAACAAACAGATCATTGAACTGGAACGGGAAGCCAGCTGCTCTATCGTTTCGCAATCAGCTGTATCTTTGCAATGAGCCGAACAGAGCGCCCAAAATGACATCTGACTCGCACGATTACCCTATTCACGCGATGGAAGCACTCTCTATCACGTAACACCATAACCCTCCTTGCCACAGTCCACGACATTACCACCATGGCCATACCTTCGTCTGCGCCCCGGTACGCATTGACAAGAGCGGTGGTGGTTTCTTTCTTCCTTTTATTTATTTCATTCACCCTCCTATCTTCCTATCACCCACCCTTCAAGGCTACTTTATCAAAATTCTCCCCTTTCATCACCTCACAAACGCCTCATCCCCCATACACCGTTGCTATCATTTATCTTGTTCGGTTATCTCACGCAGACGAGCTACTTGGATCGTTGGCATCTGTAAATGTGTATCTGCCGCTCCGCGATCCATGGCCCATCATCCTCTTTCACACTGGAGATTTCGACGATACACCTGTTCAGGATGACTTTCTGGCCAGCCTTCGCGAGAAAATTGGAGGACAGTCCAACCGCTCGCAAAGGGATTTTAGTGATCGAGTAGAATTCGTTAAGCTTGATTGGGTGCTTCCAGAGGGGATACCGCATACCAAGGAGGAACTCGATCCGGTTTCTCCAAGCTCATGGCCTGGTACGTCCCACACTAACTTACTCCTTTGCTTTATCACTCATTCA